AATGGTTGACAAACCGTAAAAAACAAATCATATATTTATGAATATTTCTTGGTATTGGTTCATGAATCTGGCGATATAGCAAACGTGATTTCAATCCCTGTCCCGGGTAATGTGTAATGGACTCAGTGGAAACAGGGCGAGTAAAAAATGACCAGTACTATAAATAAGACCGGACAGTGGAGCGAGAACAGTCCACCCACGTAAAGGGTTCAGTTTAAAATCCCTTGTAAGTTACCCAGTAGTCATATACCTGATGAAGGCCAGATAGTACAACGGTCAAAACATTGTGATAACAGCAACAAAAGAGAGCACAATAGTCTGGATATAAACAATATAAATAATTATAACGCCTTACGTCAGAAATTTAGACAGGAATTACGTAAACATATATAAATGTTCATGCTTTTGTGTGTATATATATATATATATAATTGGAAAAAACGAAAGAACTAGAAACGTCTGATCAGGGTGAAAAAAATTGTCCAGTGCTTTAAGTTTCCAGTCCAAAGAACAAATCCCAAGCGGTTAACTAAGCTAAAACGTAGAGTCTTGTCACCCCTACCAAAAATAATGAAAACAATAAAAGAACAATAATACAATAATATAAAACACGTGTACTGGTTTCAGTTTATTCGATGATCTGTATGAACACCATTATTTTCGTGTCAGCCATCTTAAATAGAAATTTATATTATGTAGGGGCGACAAGACTTTAGGACCACCCTGTAGAATTAACAAAGTCAAATATGTCAATAGCTTTATATATATATATATATATATATATATATATATATATATATATATATATATATATACCTTCCAGTACTTAACGAATCATAATTCAAAACTGATCAAACTACATTCGTTGTTTGAACAATTTCACTCTTGAATATTTTCAATATACAGAAAGACTTTTGCATTTAATTAAGCTTGTTGAAAAGTAACTCATTTCATCTTATTTTTGTATGCTTATCACTTTTCTTTGATTTGTTATATAAAAGAATGTTATTTCATTTGTTCCGACAACACTTAATTTCATTACAATTTTGTCTGATCATAATGCTTTGTGACGTTCCTAAATACAAAAACTCTTAGTGTTCTATAAAAAATTATAAGTAATGTTTGATTGGAACGGTCTCTGTTAATGCCTAATTACATTTAAAAGACTATGCCAAAAGTACAACAGTTCCCTGACAAAGGTAACTCATAAGTGCTGATTAAGAATTCAGGTCTAAGACCTATAATTAGTAAAAAAAAAAAAAATCATATATTTTCGTTGAGATATTAAATATACGAATATATATATATATATATATATATATATATATATATATATATATATATATATATATACTAACAGTAGAGCCCGGCGTTTCCGGGGATATAACAGTAAGAGATAGATCAAGTATCCACCATCATAAAGACTGAAAAATAAAATTGACAAAGATTATTGTTTAAGGTTGACGTACACGCATGTCTTAATTAGTTTTTTTTTTTTTTTTTTTTACGAATTGGTCAAACCCAAACTCAAACAAAAACATTGTTTTCAATCGTTTTGAGTCTCTACCGATTGAATAGAATTTTATTATAAACAATTGTCTTGTAAATGGAATTTTTAAAGCATTCTGAATATTAAAAATAAAGAAAAAAGTGTGCAAGAGAATAAGAAACACTACCTGCCAAAAAAAAAAAGTGAATTTTTGTTTTATCGGCTGAAAAATGTAGGAAATCTAATAACCCGATGTGAGTTGTCCCCCTTCCATTCTCACGATGTCTCTTAATCGTGTTTTCAAATTGATTTTGTGCAAAAACAATTGTATTTTTCCCATTCTGGCGCTGTTAGAACCACCACAAGGTAATTTTATGTAGTCCTGTGAAGTTTTGTCGAAATCGGTTGAAAAATGTAGGAAATCCGATTCAATATATAAACGTTACAGACACACACACACACACAACCTAGTTTTATAATAAGTAAGATATATGACGACCACAATTTTTCCTGATATTTATTTTATCGAAATTTTATATTTATTTATTTTATCAAAATTTTCTCAATACTTTAGCAGTATCAAATATATAATAATAATAATAGTCAAGATAGCGAGTCTTTTTGAGAAACTCGTCTTATGTTGGATATATGAAGGCATTAAAAGATTTGATAGATTTGTATATTTTCTTTTTGTAATTAGTCCCTCCAGGGCAATGTTTGTTTTCCAGCTTGATTTATCATCATTTTTTTTTAATCATTCACTCGAAGAAAGACCACAAAGCGCCTAACACGGTGATTGCTGAGTGTGAAAGAATATAAGAAAAACATTAAGGAGAGAGAACAATAAAAGAACAGAAATTAAGAAGACAGAAAATAATGATTGACATTTTTTAAGGTTAAACTTGACTGGAAAGTAAAAAGTCGGAAGAGAGTTCCACAAGCGAGAATACGGAAAAAGAAACTCTTAGCATAGAAATTACGGTTTCATCTAGAATTCCCAACTATAAATTGATGAGATCTTTCCTCCAATCTAGTACTGAGCTTAAATTCATAGAATCTTGGTACCTTAGTGGAAAGTTAATCAGGACAAATCATATGAAATACCAGAACAAATAAATAATATGAAAGTATTTAAAGAAAAACACAGTGAAGCTACATTACGGCCGTGGCAAAGTGACTTTCAAATACTAGGTCAGGACCAATGACATTGTAGATTATTCTTTGGATTTTATCAAGGATCTCTAAATATACAGCAGGAGCAGCAGACAGTATGCGGTAGTAATATTTTACGTATGGATGAATGGTAGACTTATAAATATGTAAGATAGATTCAGACGAGAAAAAGTGTCTAGTACGACACAGAGAACCAATTTTCCTAGCAGATTATTCGATATAATCTTTCCACTTCATGCTAACGAAAACATTAACCCGAAAAGGTGCAATGAGTCCCTCTCTTCGAGGTTAGGATTAGCCCTGCTGATGGAAGCTAGAAAGGGTTCTCTCGCGTGATTAATAGACAGCTGTTTCGTTTTAAATAATTTGGTCAAAATATAAATCATTAATCATATTCTTTACTCATTTGGCTCTTTTTTCCATCTTATTTTTTCTGGTTTCATTAATCTGCTCTCTGTCGACTGTTTCTTTCTATTATAAAGATATAAATATCCCGCGTCAGTCGTAGTCAAGTTATCTATCTATAATCCCTTGTTATAGTTGTTTTCTTTTGTGGACTAGTTAAGTAACACGCAAGGGACATAAAGTATAAATCTGATATTCAATTCTTATTCTGATTATGCATCCGTCTGAATAGCGCTAGTTCTACTTCCTGTCATCCATTTTGAAACTTGTCCATTCTAAAGACAATTTAATTTTGTAGCTATTAGGACATGATTTTTTTTTAAAGTGTTTTTTTTTCTGTAATCTATATAGTTATTTATTTCGCTTTATTTCAATACAAGGTTATCATTTTTAAACATTTACCATCCAAATAATTCTTTCGAAGTCCCTTTACTTAGCTCTAATTCTATGCCCTATAGTCTGGTTTTATCAATTACTTCTTAGTAAGTATAATTTTCATTCTTTTGGAAGATTCGAGCGTGTCTTTAGTGTCCAATCCATTGTTTATATTATTTAGTCTCCATTTTTTGTTAATATTTTCTAGTTTACTTAATTCTATTGCAATAAAATCCATTTTTTTAATTTTTTACTTTCCCATTTTGAAATGCATGAGTCCTATTTTTTTACAGTGAAATTCACCCTGTACAAGGTCCAGGGTCATTCGAGGTAAAGAATTACAGAATAAGAAGCAGTTTATGCAGATAGGATGGGAAGATAATCGTTAACCCAAGACTTTAACAGGTTAAGATTGTAGCAATCGGGGAAACATCCTCTTGGGAGTCTTTTCCATAGGGCAGTGGCACGCGAGAAGAAGCTGTTCGAGTGGAACTTAATTCTCACCAATGAAATACGTAACGGAAGTGATGAAGATGGTTTGCTACAATTTGAGTGGCATGGCGGATCCTAGCCGTGAAATGAAGTTCGTCCGAACCCTTTTTATGAAAGTGACGACAGAACAGTGAGGGGCTTGCCATATTCAGACTGGGAGAGAGTAGTTGGAGGGTGGGAAATAATTTTTTCACCCACAATCGACTTATTTTTTTCTATTATTGCTCTAAATATGTTTTCTTCCATTCCTCAAAAATGGAACAAAAAAGGCTACGTTATTTCGGATGACAGATAAATGTGACATTTACTTTTTATGTTTGTTTAAATTGTTTGTTTTAGTTTCGTTGAGAATACATTATAAATTTTGAAACATCTGAAATGGCAATATATTAATTTAGAACAATCAGATGCAGTTGAATAGATAAAGCTGAACTTTATGCAACTTAAAATCGTTCATATTCTTAGAATGGTACGTTAATCTTTCTGTGCCGTATAATGCATTATTTTACAAACCCCTCTGCTCGTAATCATATTATATAATTAATATCGGTTACCGTAGGCAACCGACTGAACTCCGTAGGTTAGGCTTGATTATACCTGATACAATAGCTCTTTCTATATTCCAATATAGCTGTATTTCACGCAGGGTTAAAAAAAAACCAATATCCTAATCAATAGGAATCAAATATCACATTTGTACTTTATGTCCCTCGCGTGTTACTGAGGTAGTCCGCAGGAGAATTCATATCATCTTCTAATGGCAGCTGATTAGATTCTTAGTTGGGGCTGCGTTTTTTGTTTTTGTTTTTATGTTTTCCTATTCCTATAGGGATGGAGTCGCCATTCTCTGATTGATGGCTAGTCTTGTAGGATATGAAAGAAAGCTGGTAAGAAATTAATTATATATTATCACTTCAAAAGTAAGATATTCATTTGGTACTGCAGGAAGCAAACCTTAGAAATATGGGAAAGCAAGGCGCAATTCGTGACATTTAACCCAGGAATTGTTCCTACAAGTAAAAAATATGAAAAAGAAATGGCCCCTAAACACAGAATTACAAGGAATTTAGGAGAAAATAACATGTAAAGATGAGCAATATTTTCTCATCGCATCAATAAACACCACAGACAATGAGAAGAAGGAGAAAGAGAGAAAAAGAGAAAAGAACTGAGAGGAAGATAGAGGGAGTAGCATATAATAAACAAATACAATCGTTTCAGCTGAAGAGAGGGGGAAAAAGTGAGACAGTGAAAGAGTGGGGAGAAGAACTACCAAACTTGGATCCTAGATTAACACAAACAAATACAGAGAGTGAGAGAGAAAATGAGAGAAAGATAGAGAGAGAAAGAAAGAGAGAGAGAGATGAATTGTCAGACTTGGATCTTAAATTAACAAAATAAACAAATACAGCCGTCTTGGTGGAAGGATTGAGAGAGAGAGAGAGAGAGAGAGAGAGAATGATAAAGAGAGAATGCGAAAGAGAGAGATAGAAAAACTAAAGGACTTGGATCCTAGATAAACACAATACAGTCGTTCTGGCTGATAGGAAGAGAGAGAGGGAGAGAGAGAAAGAGGGAGAGCGCACGCACGAGAGAAAGAAAGAAAGAGAGAGAGTGAGAGAATGATAAAGAGAGAATGCGAAAGAGAAAGAGAGAGAAAAATACTAACGGACTTGGATCCGAGATAAACACAATTAGTCATTCTGGCTGATAGGAAGAGAGTGAGAGATAGAGAGAGATAGAGAGAGAGAGAGAGAGAGAGCACGTGAGAGAGAGCACGTGAGAGAATGATAAAGAGAGAATGCGAAAGAGAGAGAGAGAGAGAAAAAAAACTAACGGACTTGGATCCTAGATAAACACAATACAGTCGTTCTGGCTGATAGCGAGAGAGGGGGAGAGCGCGCGCACAAGAGAGAGAGAGGGAGAGAGAGAGGGGCCATAACTAATAAAAAAGGAAATCTGAAACGGAAAATGTGAATTACGACTCATCTTTGCCCTACCTACGGTTATGACAGATTGCGCATTAACATGAGTTAATTCTCTCCAAAGTTATTGGCTTTTTAATAGCCGTATTTAACGCTTTTAGATCAAGATCCGAACAACATAGCCTGGCATATTGCCATGCCACCGCTTTGTTTGCTTACCTAAGCAGTTATCTTGATTCTTTCTCTGGTGTCATGTAATACACTAATTCGCAAGGTCTGGAGGTGGTCACTTCTGGTCTGTAAATCCTTAGTTTGATATTTTCATACAAATCTCATTAGATTACACTTCCGTTTCGGCTTAGGACAAAATGATAGATGATGTCTTATCCAGACGTCAGCGTTGAAAACATTTAACCTCAGAGCTTACTCTTAAATCTTTTTTTTTATGATTGGGTATGACCAAAAGCAGTGAATTTGTCATTCTCTTAGACTGTTCACAAAAAGCTAACAAGATCCATCTGCCTGATGACAGCGGTTATTAACAAGCGGTCTTCCATCTACCTGACTGGCCATGCTTAACGCCGCTTGTCATCAGAGTTCAGACGAGAACCTTGTATTTTGCTAAGATAGTGTTATGGTCCGGTTACTTGTACCACGGTGATAGTCCAAGGTAGAACCAATAAAGAACTCGAACACAGGTATGGAATAACACAGATATATTACAAACAGGAATATATACAGAGAAGTAGAAGTGTTAGTATGAACAATCAGGTTTAGTAGGGAGAACAATATAGTCTCGACCAGTATCACTATTCCAATGTCTTGCAGTAATTGTCTGAATTGCGACTCTGTTTCGGGCTGCCTCGGAGTCGACTCTTGACTCGACTTGAACTAGTGACTCGATATTCAGTCACCCCCCACTACGCTGGTGCATCATGTGACACAAGGTCGATTATTTATTGTGGTTTCTCCGAGCCCGTGGGCTCGGCTCCAAAATATGCCCATTGAACCCGTATAAACGGGCTCAGGGCCGGTTTACCTCCCCGAACGAGACTCCGCCCCTCGGCGTAGCCTCGTTCGGGTTCCTCCCCGCCCGAAGGCAGAGAGTTCAACCGAACAGTCGATTCAGAAGTGAACGACTGACTCGACTTGCCTACTCCTGAGGCGCAGTATTTATTAAGTATGGAATAGTCCATTATTATTATTATGCGTAAGATCCCATAACAGATAGTAAAAATAAACAGGAATAAAAGACTATTAAATGTAAGAAGACATAATGTGTGATTGTTAGCAAAAGACATAGCTCTTGTTACGAACTACATATTGGGGACATGAAAATCAATCAGATGGAGAAATTTAACAACCTTGGGTAATGTCGAAACACAATACGAAATGGAATAGCGAAATATATCTTTCAAAAACTAAGCAAAGTATTAAAAGGTAGGAGCATGTCCTTAGAACCAAAAAGAGAGAATACGTAACTGTTATGTAATATCTAATTTCTTGTATAGAACTACATTCTACACAATCTCTTCAGAAATGTATAAATGACTTGAAGTGAAAGAGATGTAATTCTACTGACGAATACTAAGAATAACATGGGCTAGTATAAAAGAGGATATGAGTTACACGCCATATTGATACATAGAATAAAAAAGGTATAGCTGAAATTTCTGTGATATAATACGGCAGGAGGGTATAGGGACAGAATATATGTGTGGTAGTAATGCTTATCTAGCCTTTTGTATATCTAGTACATAAACAGAGCGTAACCCATTTAATGAATTTGAGTGAATGCACGCCAGAGAAAAGAGAACGGGGATTTGTAAAATGTTAAAAGTAATTTCAAGCCACAAAGGAACTTCATTGATTGGTTTTCTACGGCTTATAAAACCTTTGCAGGTTATTTTAAACCAGAAAATATTTTTAGATTGTAAGATTTTCTTTAAAAGATAATAATGATGTAGTGATATAAGTCAAACTAATTAACCCATAGTTAGGGGAGAAGCGGTTGATTCCCAAGTGTATTTGTGCGTAAGTGAATATAACAAATCCAACTTGAATTCGAACCCGGCTCTCCAATTTATAATTCCGAGCCATTATCAATTGCACCATTTGCATATCCAAACTCGCAGCATCTAGTATTCCGAAGCGGTCAGGCATCTAGGTGCTGACCCGGCTCAACGGTGAGTAATATCGGTGACAGTACGAAAACCGGTGTTTCAACCTGGTATGGCCGTTCGCCCACAAAGGAGAGTAAGTTGTGAAGAGCTTACTTCCTGAAAAAGTAATGTACATGAATGAATAGCTTTTCATCTTGTTTGGTATAAGGACATTATGTCTCTTGTACCTGCAAGTATTTTTTCAGGGGTCTGTTGTATTTAAAACTAAATTTATTATTTATTCCATGTCAGTAGATTGTTCTCACTCTGCTGTTTATACAAAGAAATATTCTATACAGAAATTAGTGGACATTTGGGATGTTAACTAAATGCCTATTCATTCTGCACCAGAAGCTACCGTATTGTGTTAATGTCTATTCTTAGACTGCTGAAGAGGTTATGAGAACATATAAGCCATGAAAAATCATCGCTATCATTATTATTATTATTATTATTATTATTATTATTATTATTATTTCCTTCCATTTCTTGTGTATACTCATTTCGTTCTGGGTACCGACCAGAGACCTTAAGGTTAGAAATGTGGTCATGAAGTTTTTTTATGGAGAATTTATTTAAAAAAAATCAAAACAAGAAAACAAAATCACACATATTTTACATAGATAAAGCCTTTCGTAAAGTGTGAGCTGTACTTGTGAGTACAATTTTTATATTTCTTTAAAACTTAGGCTAGCAGGGATACATTCAATGAGAATATCGGGACCTTTTCCAAAGAAAGCGAAAGCTCCAAATGTAATTGCTGAATTGTTGATGTCCTCAAGTGTGAAATTTTTGTGATTTCGATTCCAAGGTCCTTTTACTTTTATAGTTTTATGAAGATCTTTAACGATACGTTACAGTCTGCAGGGACTGCCACGTCAATAAGAAGGGATATTCTGTTTTTGTGGTCTCTGATCACGACGTCTGGGCAACTAACTTTGATTGTTCTGTCTGTGTGTATTGTAAAGTCATTATTATTATTATTATTAATATTGTTTTTTTTTTGTTTTTTTGTTGGTTTTTGTGCATTAATTAAATTTTCCATGACTGTTTTACCATTTCTTTGCCGATGAAAATAATGCTTATTGAAGTAATTTTGATACGTAAGCTAGGAAAACGCTGGAGTTAGAATTTAGAACACCGGTGTTTGATTTTTACTGACACAGTTGGAGCCATATTACTTGTGATACATTAAATCAATATAAATTCTGGAATCAGGTGGCAAGGAAGTCAGCGCAATTATTTGATGAAAACAAAGAAGTGTAATTAAATCATCCATATATTATAGACTACCTTCAGGCATCATGTCACCCTCGAGGGACACGATTTATTCAATCGAAATTTTGAATAAACATCCAATGATTTGAAACGCAGGCGTAGTTCCAAATTTATAATATTAATATATGTAATCTCAAAATATGGTCCATTGAGAACTATCTGAGTCATGTTGAAGAATGTATTATATATTAGCATAATATCAATAAGGACCTAAAAGTATTTTGTTCATTAACTTTAGTCAAATATTTTCATTTAAACAATCGATATATTTGACTGATTAGAAAAATTAACAAAATATTTGGCAAATTGATTGAATTCCTTAAGAAATAGCTCCAATTAAAGATTTTGGACTTTGACAGTCTTTAAATGTATTCTTCAAGGTGTTGAATTAATATATTTACCGTATATACTCGCGTATCACGCAACTATTGCGGACTTAATTTTGAGGCTAATTTTAAGAGGGTAGCATAATACATGAGATAGAAAATTAGCGTATGTACTGCTGGCCCGGGCTACTACGTTGACCAAACTATATATCTATTTACTGTAGTCAAATTAGCTTCAAAGTTAGGCCTTCAAAGGTCGCATGATACGCTAGTATATACGGTAGTTGAAACAATAAACAGAACCTGAAGGCATATTTTTCCAAAAAAAATGACACAGACAAATCACACTACGCTTTATGTACGCAATTTTGGCTTTAAGCAGGCTACCGTTATGTCTAACGCTTACTGCCGGAGGCTATAATTTTAATTTAGACGGTCACTTCTACCTAACCCGACTCCATAAAACATTATTTAAATTATTATTATATTTATTATTAATATTAGTAGTAGCAGAAAGAAGGAAAAGAGCACAAAGCTGTTACGCGGTATCTCTCCTATTGTATGGCAGAGTGTTGGACAATCTCATCATAGATGAAGATGTGTCTAGAAGCAACAGAAATATGGCTCTACAGAAGGATGCTGGGGATAGCACGTGAACACTGATGTGGTATTGGAGAAAATCGAAATAAAAAGGAAACATATTTAACATCGGGAAGAAACAGTTGAGGTTTCTGGTGAACATAATAAGGAAGGAAGACTTGGAAAATGTGATACACACAGGACGGTGAAGGCAAGAGAGACAGGGGGAAAACGCATAGACATATTTAGTGAGCTTGAGTAAATGGATGTCGGTACAGGGTTTAGGAGGAATAAGAAAAAGAGAAAATTTATTAAGAGCTACAAAAGACAGAAAGTTGTGAAGAGTCATGATCGCTTACGTCCTGAGGAGACATGGCACACGAAGAGAGAATATGCTTTTATTTACTCTAGGTGATTTTGGAATGTTTTGGAATGTTAAACATGGAGTCATTTTTTTTGCATTTATCATGCCAAAATTAGGGCACGCCTAATTTGCCTGTGCATCTTTTTATATCTTCAAACGCGGCAATTTAATCGAGGAAGAAACAGAAGGCGGACATTAAAAGCTCCTACTTAACATATGTTTTTAATCGGTTTTACCCCATCCAAGGCAAATAAGCCACTAAGACACAATGGCTTACACGGCGTGGTAGAATTAGGAACAGAAACAGTAATAATGACCATGAAGAGAAAATAATAATAGATAGCGATTGACATTGCTTTTAAATTCTTCCAGATTAAAGTTGGCTGTATGGTGCCGGAAGGGAGTTCCACAGGCCAGAAGTGCGAGAAAAGAAACTGTCAGCATAAAATTTACGGCTACATCTAGCCAGCTCAACTGTAAATTGTTGAAATCTCGACGCTTAGTTTAGTACTGCGCGTAAATTAAAAAAGTCTAGGTACCATAGCGAAGAGCACATCTGAACAATTACTATGAAAGTATTTATAGAAAGTATTTATAGAAAAGACACAGAGAGGCAAACTTATGGTGGTGGGAAAGTGACTGAAGCTGAGATGCCAGATCAGGACCACTAATATTAATGATTCTTCTTGAGATTTTATCAAAGAGCTCAAGGTAAGTAGAAGGGGTACCGGACCATATGTGGCAGCAATATTCTTAGCATAGACAAACATTA